AGGGGCGGGGCCCAATAGGGGAAATAGAGGATTTTTTTTCTCCTGCTATACAAGTGAAGGGATTTTAACCAAATGCAGTCTGAAGCATGATTAGGGACAAAAGAATCAATTTTGTATAAACTGAGGTGTGTGGGCCTCCTTCTAAGGGCAGATGGGTGGGGCCCATTAGGGGAAATAGAGGAAAACATCAAATATCCTTCTCCTTTTGTACCGATGAAGGGATTTTGACCAAATTTGGTCTGGAGCATCATTGGCCAAAGGGTTCTCAGTTTTGTATGAACGGAGGGTATGGTCCCCCTGGGGGCAGAGGGACGGGGCCAAATAGGGGAAAATAGGTAAATCTTTAAAAATCTTCTCCTCAACCAATTGAAGGATTTTGACCAAATTTGTCCTAGAGCATCTTTGGACAAAGGAGACTCAAGTTTGTATAAACGGAGGGTGTGGGCCTTCTGGCGGCATAGGAGCGGGGCCCAATAGGGGAAATAGAGGATTTTTTTTCTCCTACTATACAAGTGAAGGGATTTAAACCAAATGCAGTCTGAAGCATGCTTAGGGAGAAAAGAATCAATTTTGTTTAAACTGAGGTGTGTGGATTCCCCTTCTTTGGGGCAGATTAGTGGGGCCCATTAGGGGAAATAGAGGAAAACATTAAAGATCCTTCTCCTTCTGTACCGTTGAAGGGATTTTAACCTAACCAAACTTGTTTTAGAGAATCTTTGGGCAAAGGGAATTGAATATTTATAAATGGAAGATGCAACTTTGTTACTTGTACTCCTTTGATAAACCTGAATGGTACTCAGCAGGTTTTAAATTGAAAAATAAAATACCAGGTGAGCTATTAAGGCCCCTGGGCCTCTTGTTTACAATTTCTACAATTTCTATAGGTACATACAATGTAGATCAAACTTATACATACAATATATTTGCAATATAACTTGTACAATGTAATGCACATTACAACAGATGATTTGAAACCTGAAAATTCTCAGCCAATTTGAACTGTTTGATCTTGATAGTGGCTGTTATTTGATTGTTTCAGAGAGGGTGCTAACACAGAAACAAAGCCATCGAGTCAGAGACACGAAGGTGTTGGATCGAGTCCCTGCACAGAATACAATCGCAAGGAACAAGATAATGGTAATTTATAATTACAGCATGTAGATATACCTACACATCCTTAACTGTAGGTTAATTTGTGATTGTTCCTGTCCCTGTCCGTCCTGTTGTCCCTGTCCCTGTCCTACAGCAGATCTAGATAGTCGTATGTCCTGTTCTCCAAGCTGCCCTACAACAGATCTAGATAGTCGTATATCCTGTTGTCCCTGTCCTACAACAGATCTAGATAGTCGTATATCTTGTTTTCCAAGCTACCCTATAGCAGATCTAGATAGTCGTATGTCATGTTGACCTTGCCCTACAGCAGATCTAGATAGTCATATATCCTGTTCTGCCAGCTGCCCTACAGCAAATCTAGATAGTCGTATATCCTGTTGTCCCTGTCACTGCCCTACAACAGATCTAGAGAGTCGTATATCATGTTGTCCCTGCCTTACAGCAGATCTAGATAGTCGTATCTCATGTTGTCCCTGCCTTACAGCAGATCTTGATAGTCGTATATCATGTTGTCCCTGCCTTACAGCAGATCTTGATAGTCGTATATCATGTTGTCCCTGCCTTACAGCAGATCTAGAGAGTCGTATATCCTGTGGTCCCTGTCCCTGCCCTACAACAGATCTAGATAGTCGTATCTCATGTTGTCCCTGCCTTACAGCAGATCTAGAGAGTCGTATATCCTGTGGTCCCTGTCCCTGCCCTACAACAGATCTAGATAGTCGTATCTCATGTTGTCCCTGCCTTACAGCAGATCTAGATAGTCGTATATCATGTTGTCACTGCCTTACAGCAGATCTAGATAGTCGTATCTCATGTTGTCCCTGCCTTACAGCAGATCTAGATAGTCGTATATCATGTTGTCCCTGTCCTACAGCAGATCTAGATAGTCGTATGTCCTGATGTCCCTGTCATACAGCAGATCTAGATAGTCGTATGTCATGTTGTCCCTGTCCTACAGCAGATCAAGATAGTCGTATATCATGTTGTCCCTGTCATCCAGCAGATCTAGATAGTCGTTTATCCTGTTGTCCCTGCCTTACAGCAGATCTAGATACGCGTATATCCTGTTCTGCCAGCTGCCCTACAGCAGATGTAGATAGTCGTATATCATGTTGTCCCTGCCTTACAGCAAAGCTAGATAGTCGTATATCATGTTGTCCCTGCCCTACAGCACCTACAACAGATCTAGATAGTCGTATATCCTGTTCTGCCAGCTGCCCTACAACAGATCTAGATAGTCGTATGTCATGTTGTCCCTGTTCTACAGCAGATCTAGATAGTCGTATGTCCTTTTGTCCCTGTCATACAGCAGATCTAGATAGTAGTATGTCATGTTGTCCCTGTCCCTGTCCTACAAAAGATCTAGATAGTCGTATGTTATGTTGTCCTTGTCCCTGTCCTCCAGCAGATCTAGATAGTCATATGTCATGTTGTCCCTGTCCTACAGCAGATCAAGATAGTCGTATATCATGTTGTCCCTGTCACTGCCCTACAACAGATCTAGATAGTCGTATGTCATGTTGTCCCTATCCTACAGCAGATCTAGATAGTCGTATATCCTGGTCTGCCAGCTGCCCTACAGCAGATCTAGATAGTCGTATTTCCTGTTGTCCCTGTCCAACAGCAGATCTAGATAGTTGTATTTTCTGTTGTCCCTGTCCCTGTCCTACAGCAGATCTAGAGAGTCGTATGTCATGTTGTCCCTGTCCCTGTCCTACAGCAGATCTAGAGAGTCGTATGTCATGTTGTCCCTGTCCCTGTCCTACAGCAGATCTAGATAGGCGTATGTCATGTTGTCCCTGTCCTACAGCAGATCAAGATAGTCGTATATCATGTTGTCCCTGTCCCTGTCATACAGCAGATCTAGATAGTAGTATGTCATGTTGTCCCTGTCCCTGTCCTACAACAGATCTAGATCGTCGTATGTTATGTTGTCCTTGTCCCTGTCCTCCAGCAGATCTAGATAGTCATATGTCATGTTGTCCCTGTCCTACAGCAGATCTAGAAAGTCGTATGTCCTGATGTCCCTGTCATACAGCAGATCTATATAGTCGTATGTCATGTTGTCCCTGTCCTCCAGCAGCTCTAGATAGTCGTATATCATGTTGTCCCTAGATAGTCGTATGTCCTGATGTCCCTGTCATACAGCAGATCTAGATAGGTCCTACAGCAGATCTAGATAGTCGTATGGTCATATATCATGTTGTCCCTGTCATACAGCAGATCTAGATAGGCGTATGTCATGTTGTCCCTGTCCTACAGCAGATCAAGATAGTCGTATATCATGTTGTGTATATCCTGTTGTCCCTGTCCCTGCCCTACAACAGATCTAGATAGTCGTATATAATGTTGTCCGTGTCCTACAGCAGATCTAGATAGTCGTATATAATGTTGTCCGTGTCCTACAGCAGATCTAGATAGTCGTATTCTAGATAGTCGTATGTCCTGTTGTCCCTGTCATACAGCAGATCTAGATAGTCGCATGTCATGTTGTCCCTGTCCCTGTCCTACAGCAGATCTAGATAGTGGGATGTCATGTTGTCCCTGTCCCTGTCCTACAGCAGATCTAGAGAGTCGTATGTCATGTTGTCCCTGTCCCTGTCCTACAGCAGATCTAGAGAGTCGTATGTCATGTTGTCCCTGTCCCTGTCCTACAGCAGATCTAGATAGTGGGATGTCATGTTGTCCCTGTCCCTGTCCTACAGCAGATCTAGATAGGCGTATGTCATGTTGTCCCTGTCCTACAGCAGATCTAGAAAGTCGTATGTCCTGATGTCCCTGTCATACAGCAGATCTATATAGTCGTATGTCATGTTGTCCCTGTCCCTGTCCTACAGCAGATCTAGAGAGTCGTATGTCATGTTGTCCCTGTCCCTGTCCTACAGCAGATCTAGATAGGCGTATGTCATGTTGTCCCTGTCCTACAGCAGATCTAGATAGTCATATGTCATGTTGTCCCTGTCCCTGTCCTACAACAGATCTAGATAGTCGTATGTTATGTTGTCCTTGTCCCTGTCCTACAGCAGATCTAGATAGTCATATGTCATGTTGTCCCTGTCCCTGTTCTACAGCAGATCAAGATAGTCGTATATCATGTTGTCCCTGTCATACAGCAGATATAGATAGTCATATATCCATTTCTCCCAGCTGCCCTACAACAGATCTAGATAGTCGTATGTCATGTTGTCCCTGTCCTACAGCAGATCTCGTTTGTCCTGTTCTCTCTGTCCTACAGCAGATCTAGATAGTCGTATATCCTGTTCTGCCAGCTGCCCTACAGCAGATCTAGATAGTCGTATATGATGTTGTCCCTGTCATACAGCAGATCTAGTAGGACAGGGACAACATGATATACGACTATCTAGATCTGCTGTAGGGCAGGGACAACATGATATGTGACTATCTAGATAGTCGTATGTCCTGTTGTCCCTGCCCTACACCAGATCTAGATAGTCGTATGTCATGTTCTCCCTGTCCTACAGCAGATCTAGATAGTCGTATGTCATGTTCTCCCTGTTTTACACCAGATCTAGATAGTCGTTTGTCCTGTTCTCTCTGTCCTACAGCAGATCTAGATAGTCGTATATCTTGTTTTCCAAGCTACCTTACATCAGATCTAGATAGTTGTATGTCCTGTTCTCCCTGTCCTACATCAGATCTAGATAGTCGTATATCTTGTTTTCCAAGCTACCCTACATCAGATCTAGATAGTCGTATAATATGTTGTCCCTGTCCTACAGCAGATCTAGATAGTCGTATATCCTGTTCTCCCAGCTGCCCTACAACAGATCTAGATAGTCGTAAATCCTGTTGTACCTGTCCTACAGCAGATCTAGATGGTCGTATATCCTGTTGTCCCTTTCCCTGCCCTACAACAGATCTAGATAGTCGCATATCCTGTTGTCCCTGTCCCTGTCCTACAGCAGATCTAGATAGTCGTATGTCCTGTTTTCCCTGTCCCTGTCCTACAACAGATCTAGATAGTCGTATATCCTGTTGTACCTGTCCTACAGCAGATCTAGATAGTCGTATGTCATGTTCTCCCTGTCCTACAGCAGATCTAGATAGTCGTATATCATGTTTTCCCTGCCCTACAGCAGATCTAGATAGTCGTATGTCCTGTTGTCCCTGTCCCTGTCCTACAGCAGATCTAGATAGTCCTATATCATGTTGTCCCTGTCATACAGCAGATCTAGATAGTCATATATCAATTTCTCCCAGCTGCCCTACAGCAGATCTAGATAGTCGTATATCATGTTATCCCTGTCCTACAGCAGATCTAGATAGTCGTATTTCCTGTTGTCCCTGTCCCTGTCCTACAGCAGATCTAGACAGTCGTATATCATGTTGTCCCTGTCCTACAGCCGATCTAGATAGTCGTATGTCCTGTTGTCCCTGCCCTACACCAGATCTAGATAGTCGTATATCCTGTTGTCCCTGTCCTACAACAGATCTAGATAGTCGTATATCCTGTTCTGCCAGCTGCCCTACAGCAGATCTAGATAGTCGTATTTCCTGTTGTCCCTGTCCCTGTCCTACAGCAGATCTAGACAGTCGTATATCATGTTGTCCCTGTCCTACAGCAGGTATGTCATGTTGTCCCTGTCCCTGTCCTACAACAGATCTAGATAGTCGTATATCCTGTTGTCCCTGTCCCTGCCCTACAGTAGATCTAGATGAGGTTGGCCCTTGTTGAGTTAACAGGTTATTAAGTATCTTGATAGTCGTATATCCTGTTCTGCCAGCTGCCCTACAGCAGATCTAGATAGTCGTATTTCCTGTTGTCCCTGTCCCTGTCCTACAGCAGATCTAGACAGTCGTATATCATGTTGTCCCTGTCCTACAGCCGATCTAGATAGTCGTATATCATGTTGTCCCTTTCCTACAGCAGGTATGTCATGTTGTCCCTGTCCCTGTCCTACAACAGATCTAGATAGTCGTATATCCTGTTCTGCCAGCTGCCCTACAGCAGATCTAGATAGTCGTATTTCCTGTTGTCCCTGTCCCTGTCCTACAGCAGATCT